GGGAGGGTGCAGGGCTGCGGGTGGCTGTGCCGCACGCACACGTGGCCCCAGCACCGACTCGGTGACACCCACTGCTGCCCCATAGCCCCACCGTGCGGGTGCCCTAGCCGGGGGCTCTGGTTGTGTTTCCTCCTCCATCCCGGCCTTCACCTTCTCCCTCCCCAAGCCCTCCACGCACCGCATCGGCCCCTGCTCAGGCAGCGATTTCTGCCTCGCACTGGGGAAGAACCAAACACGGGGCCCAGTGTGATCCCGCTCTAGCCATGACAGCGACCTCCGGCCCAATGTGACTTCAGCCTGGTCCCTGTCCCTCTTGACCCCCTGCCACCCTGTCCCCTGCAGGCATCAGGCACCTACAGGATCCTGGACATGTCCACGGAGCTGCTGCAGGGGCAGGTGCTGCCGGACACAGAGCAGGGCCTCATCGCCAAGGCCTTCGAGAAGAACTACCGCGTCATCGCCTCCTACTCGGCCATCCCGCTCAGCAGCGCCGTGACCATGGAGATCCAGGAGCACGGTGAGCGCACGGACAGGACGCGGGCAGCCCCCACTGCCGCGGCCGCCTGCCCCCCCCTCCCCCCAGAGGAGGCCGAGGAGCCCCCCACGACGCCCGCCCCCACGGTGCCCAGCTCCGACATGCTGTCCCACATGCTGCTGCTCACGCTGCAGCCCTGGAAGTGCACGGACGACACCATGGAGATCGTCATCGCCCGCTCCCACCTGGAGGTGAGGGGGAAAAGGTGTCCCGTGCGTGTCACCCGAGGCCACGGTTGCTTTGGAGGCATCGGGCATGGGGGAAACACGTGGAGGGCGCCAGCCATGAGGGCACCCTGAGGTGCTGGGAAGCTGCGGGCGCCCGGCGCGGCGCTGGAGCTGGTGCTTTGTCCTCAGCCCATCAAGGACGTGGTGAACATCACCCTGCGGGACCTGAGCTGCCGGGCGGAGCGGAACGCCACGCACTTCACGCTGCGCACGCCGCTCAGCCGCTGCGGTACCTCGCTGGAGAGCAAGGGCCACGCGCAGAACGAGGTGAGCGCAGCCCGGCCGCCCCGCGGCGCCAGCCCCACGCGGTGCCGGGCAGCCCTTGACGCCTTGCTCGCTTCCCTTGCAGCTCATCCTCAGCCTGTCCACGGGCTCGTGCCTGCGGAGTGTGGCGGTAAGCGTGGAGCCGAACCAGGGCAAGGGGGGACGCACACGGCCAGGGCTCAGCTCGTGTCTCCCCGCAGGTTCCCTTCAAGTGCGAGATCCCTCGGGAGCTCTTCCTGCGCCTCTTCCCCACGGCCGCCTTCGAGGCGCCACAGACGGAGCTGGAGGTCAACAAGGAGGCCTATCTGCAGGTACGTGCGGGGCCGGGCGGCCGGCGGCGGGGGCAGGGCCGCC